ATTTCTAAATATATCCCAGCTGACTCGCTCACAAAAACCTAATTTACAAGCCGACACTTTAAGAGCTGACCTGTAGTTGGAGCTTTGGCACAGCCTTAATTGTAGATTGTGAATGGACTTCACTCTGCAGCATCACAGCCAACAATTCAGTGTGCTTGAATGTGCAATGCACATTAGCACACCATTTAATCCTCTCCATACTTTGTATTCTACTCAATTTGTAGAAGCAATTCCCCTATTCCTCCTCTTTTCATTCCAAGCCACGTGGAATCACAAGAAAGTGAAAGTGGTGTGTTGAACTTCAAAACATGCCAACCTGCACTGATAAGAGCTCTGGTTTCAGAAGAATAAAACAGCAATCAACAATTCACTGTTGATCCTGCCCTCAGCACTTTTGTATTTTATAGAGGGTTGTGTATCAAGACTTATACTGAAAATATGTTTCAGTTTCTATAAATTAGTGGCCATTGATTAATAAATTAGAGGAAAGTTGTGTGATTATTAATTATTTATATATTATTAATATTATTATTATTTTATATATAATTTGTCCTGCATTGCTACTGAACTGTGCAATAATATTAACAAGAATATCAATGAGGCAGCCAGAGTATTTCTAAGAACACTCACAAAATCACTCATCTGTTCAGCTAACTCAAGAGTCTTCAAAGCTGTATTTTTTCTGTCATTCTGAGCTGAAATTGTTAGTAAATTATAAATGGTTGTGGACTGACAGAAGATTTGATTAATTGCTACGTGCATATTTCAACAAAAATGCCAGCTGGTTTGCATCTGGCTGTGCGTTCTTCAAGTTAGAAATTCAAGTTGTACAAATTAAGTTTCAGTATTATGACTAGTGTTGTTTTTTTCAATGTTAAATGTGCAGTCTCAAACCACTGAACTTCCTGATTACAAACAAGAGGATGTGAATCAAACAGGAAAGTGAAAAAAATAACACTTCACGGCTTTAAATCTAATGTTTCTGTTTCTTCTGTGGCTCAGCTTTCTTTGAGGAAAAAGTTTAATATTATATTACTAGTATAACAAACGACTCAATCTTTTTTCTCTGCATTATTCTTGTGTTTAAAGGACTTTCTAAACTCGTATTCGTTTTCCATTTTTCTTTTCTGCATCCAGTCAGCAACAATTTAATTTCCCACACAGGAGCCAATAAAACCTCACTGCATCCAAAACTTTAATCATAAAACACCTCATTCTGCCTTATCTGAGTCTTTCCTGTGTGACAATAAATCACATACCTGATACATCTCTAGACAGGTTAAGGGAGGTGAAGATAAATTAGGATATTCCCTCTCTTTAGCCAAAGGCACATCGGCGTGATTTACGATTGTCTTTTAACAATTAAAACCCTGTGAAATTCTTGTTGTGCAGACTTCACAACTCCAAAATTACCATCTTGAGGCCTCTGATCCTGCTAAAAGGAACAACACAGTCTAGTGGTTGAGCTGTTTACTGAGCTCTTCTTGCTGCCCGCACTAACAAGCTACGAGCTTCCAAGTCTCCGAACCGCGGGAGGCAAATGGATTTCGACACGGAGACGGCAAGTGCGCAGATTGATCATGTTTGCCATTTGAATAACCAGCTTAGTGCGTGGTGAGAGTGCAGCGCAGGGGGAGCACACTGTCACCATCTTATTATAAACACATAAAGGTCATTGCTTCCATCGCTGCAACTCTGGTTCATCTGATACTTGATAAACTTTACTCAGTCTTTGCTTACCAACTGTTGATTTAAGGTCGACATTAAAGCAGCACTTTGGCAGCTTGCACGTTTCGTGGCTCCAAGTGTCAGCAACTGTTTGGACAATGCGGACTTCAATACCTAGAAATCCTGTTACTAATTGATACTGTTATCCTTCAGAGGAAAAGACACCAGTGGATGTAACAGAGTCCAGCTCGCTCCAAGCTCAGGTTCAGATGATGTGGGAGGATTTATGGGTCGGTGGCCACAGACCTATCAATAATTGTTTTCGGACCTTTTCAGGCCCAAACTGGTAGTGTCGACATTTGATAAGGGCTCCACAACAGCTTCATACTGAAGGAATTGTGTGATGATAGAAGATCCTTCACATATTTTATGGGACTCCACAAAAGGGACACAATATCATTTCCAAATGAATATCCTTTAAAATGCATCTAAAATCCCAGAATTTATGAATATGCAAATGTCCAAAGTTTTCCTGCTGGACACGAGATGTCTTCTTTTTCACTATGATTCCATTCTCAGTGTATGTGTCTCTACATCACACTTGTATAAGTTGCATACTGGACCAGTCAAAGTTGGACTCAATGCTAAAAAGTGGAATTCATTCAGTGAAGTTTAGAGTTTTATTTCATCTTTTGACAACAAGGAGCAGCTTTAATTTTCTTTTTCTTATAAAGCACTTTAAGCTGCATTCTTTGTATGGAATAAGCTTTGTTATTATTGTCTCAAACCAATGAACTTCCTCTTTGCAAACAAAAGGATGTGAATCAGACTGTAAAGTGAAAGAACTGCTATTCTGCACCCAGTTAAAATGTGCTACACCAGCAACTCAATCTCTCTGAGAGCAGCCACTGAAATCTCATTGAAGGCTTTTCAGACAGAGGTATACTGTATGAAATGACACTGGTTTCCTCCATGTGGGACCCGAAAGTGTGACCAGCAAGCCCCCAGAAACTGTGATCGGCTATCAGGCGAGTTTGGAATTGTAGCCACACACGTAATTGCAACTTCCGGGAGCATCATGTTACGCAAAAAGCATCTGTCCTGTCATACAGAATTAATAGAAAAGGAGCTGCTGTAAAATGGTGTAAAATGACTTATTTCATCTGTTTAGTCCAATTTGGAAATTCTATAAAAGCAGTATTATCAAATTCTCTGTTATTTTTTTTACCATTCATGTGTGTAGAGAACAAACAGGAAGTCAGTCTCAGGCATGCATGCAACTGGCTCGGCTTGAGTTGGACTCTACTGCTGCTCTCTAGGCCCAAAAACACACAAGGGTATCAACTCAGCAAAAATGTATATGCCGTGACTGCAGCCCTTATTGAGGTCTAGAAACGTAACTCTAAACTGGACCAAAATGACCCTAAAACTCAATGTACTCATGATTTCTGTTTTCATTGCATTGTTGCACAGGCTTTAATTCAATTTCTAAAAATATCTGCAAAATAAAATTAATTTATGCTCGTTTACAGGATGATGAAAATGTACTCAGGGCTACAACAAGTCTTGAGACTGACATGGACATTATGTTTTAAAATACTTCTTAACTTAGAAATCAATGTCAAGGTTTGCTCAGTATCGTATTTCAAATTTGCCCTTTGAAAATCTTTTCTAGTACACCTTTAAGACATGTTCCTGCTATATTAGCTGGAGAAGAACTTCTTTAAATTCATACCAGCACTGCCAGACACTTTCTGACAGTATCTCTCTGACAACAGTCTGACAGAAACACTGCATAAAACAACTGACGTGTCTTATTTCTATGAAATCAGAAGTGCCCAGACTCCCAGACCTTAAAATCTTTATGCTCAGCAGGAGTGGATTATTGGTGCAAATAATGATGATGAAGTCCAGTCCAGTCGACTCATTTGTGAACAGCCTCTTAATGTTTTGAAAGATTTGGATGAATTTTAAGTCGAGAAGTTATATGTATCTCTATCTTACACCTTTGACCTCCAAATTCAACAGTGCAGTCTTTTTTCTCTTCCATCTCACAGTTTATAAGCAAGCCTCTGACGTCTCAGTGAGCCACAGCAGTGCTTTCAGTTCAGCCTTTTTTTTTTTTTACTCAAAAACAGCAACAGACACAAAAATAGCCGAGGCAGTTTTGACACTTTAAAAGACTGACCGGCCCTTTTGCGCTTTACAGAAACGACTTCAGTAATAATGCCAGCAGTGGCTGTCTCTAAGCCTCTGAGAATTTACCGGCAGAAATAAAGTACAGATGCAAGAGCAGACAGGTACACGAGCTTTGGAGATGCAACAAGGCAGGTGAGCATCAAATAAAATTACACTGCTGACAAACCCAACTGTCATTAGTCATAACTAAAACACTCAATCACTGCCGAGTCCCAGTTGAGTGAGAGTTCACAGTTTGGCGAAGCACAGATTTACTCTTTTAAAATATTACCAGGACACTGTCAAGATTTAGCATCATGGCTCATAATGCCATCCAAAAGATCAGAGACCAAGATAGCCATTTCGATATCCAGATTAGTCTGTGAATTTATTGATGTTTGATTTGAATAATTAAAAACCAGCTCATCCGGCTCATTTAACTTGTTTCCAGCAGCACCAGGCAGCTATTTCTAACAAACAAGCTCTAAAAAAAGACCATTGTGCGCTACCTACACATTACCAAGTGTCACTTCAAGAGTTGGTGGACACTGAACCAGAGACTTCAAATGTCTGCTTCATGTGTAAAATGGCCCTGGCCACACTAGAAAGCAGTTCAGTGAAGTCCACCCATGCATTCTTGCAGATAAGTTGATAGGAGTTGGAATATGTAGTGATTTGCAGCACTAGTTTTTCAAACTACTGTACTGTAACTGGTGAGATAAATGCTCCATGCTAGTGCCGGACGCAACTGTCAAGTCAGCCGTCGGTTAGCAAACCTACTGTCTAAGTGTCAGCAAGACAGGAAGTTCACACAGTGTGTTTGTACCATTGACTGCTGTCAAGACAGTTTGATGTCAAATTTCCATCTCAAAGTTCACCAAAGTGGAACTCAGCAAAACACACAGCAATTATACTGAAATGAATCAATTTTGCTGTGATAATTTATAACATTATTGAAGGGGTCTACACTCACAGTGTATTTTAAGTATCTTCTACATTTATGTATAAATATGGCTGGTGGGAAAACTGCAAAGCAGCCTGTAGCCTTTTTAATGTGTATAAATATAGATGGACCAATTGAATGTCATCTGAAAAGCAGTTTGGTGGCTTCAGGGAAGGACTGGACGAATAGTGAATTCATGAAGCCGTTGTACCTTTGAGATGAGCTCGTCGTGGTTGGCCAGATGTGCCCGGCAGTGGATGCAGCTGTAGGTGCGGTGGCAGGATGGCAGGTAAGCCTGGAAGGTCTTAGACTTGGTCATCTTCACCATGTCAGTGGGGCAGGGCTCCTCACTGGTGTCAGGGCTGGCACTGGAAGAGTTGCAGCTCTGCTGAACTTGCTGACAGAAGAAACACTGGAAGATGCAAGCAAAAGCCGTCGTTGTTGTGGAGTGGGTGTGTGGCACGCTCCACACAGACACCACAAGAGAAAATCAAACCTGCAGGACGAAAAGGAAAAGAGAGGCTGCGGTGAGGGACACACGTTCCATACTTCCTATTTTTAGAGCTCATGATCTTGATTGCATTTCCAATATAACGCAGCTCATTTGCTCAAGCAATCATCTGATTACAATAATCTATTATGTGATTACAATCGCATGTTGTTGCCGACCAACATGGCCACACGCTGATGTGATTTAATATGACCCGTCAAACAAACCCTTGTTTATGTAAAGCCACGTAACATGTCTCACTCGGTCACAAGCTATTTTATTATTCGGTTTATAACAGCAGCGTGTCCTTTTTTGTTCTGTCCCACTGGGCCGATAGATGCAGGAGGAGATTATTGTAGCTTCAGCCATAAAAGTTAGGTGTTTTCGTTTGTTTGCCTGTCAGGAAAATTATGTAATCATTCATAAAATCCTTCAAAAGGACAAGATGTGTATTACTGAAATTCTTAAATTTGTCTTACACTTTATTTTAACTGCAAAAAGAGTTGTTTTGTTGAATTTGGTGTAGCAATTATAGTTTCAATTAATGTCCAGTATCTCTGTTTTAATTATATATGCTATGTAAAATATTCAAATTCTATTATTACGTTGATTCACAAGTATCATTGCGTTAAATATCATTTTGAACTGTAGATAATTGTGGACTAGTAGCGACACTAACTCCTGTCAGTCAAAATAAAGAGGAAATACTACATAGTGATTAGTCTATGTAGCAGTTAAATATGTTTTTATAACTTGTTGTAGTGAGACTAAGCTATTAACTGATGTGCCAGCTTAAGCCAAACGGGTAATTATCATCTGCAGATTGTTGGCATGCTGATGTTAAAGGATAATTCTGATTTTAACTGGTTTTACCACATATAAGCATTGTACTCTCCATGTAAACTGCTAAAATCTGGGAATGTTGTAACATCTCTGTAACAAAGACAGAAGTCAGATGAATAGTTTAGTTTAGAGCATGTCACCCCCACAATAGACCACAGACCCCCAATTTAAGAGGATTATGTCTTAATGAATCCCCTCTGAGTAATCCTTTTTATTTTTAAGTTTCAAGACCATAAAAGTCTTCGTAGTCAATCAAACTGGAATCACTATAAATTATATAATTATATAATTATAACTATAATTATAATCTTCCCTTGTTCCAACATCAAATGTGACACAAGTTAAAATATTCTATTTCTCCTTTTGCTGGGGGCCCCTGTTGGTCTCTGGACCCCAGCATTAAAACCAATTAGACAGGTAGTCGACAAGCCAACAGCTGAGCCAGATTATCCAAACATCATTGCGTGGAGGTAGAACTGAAAGTGTGAGGATCTGAAATGTTGGTAATAAGCCTCTATTGCAGGAAAGCAGTAAGCACAGTACAATCTGTCGGATCGTCGGACTGCTCCTGTTTCTTGCTCCTTTGGACTTCTTTTTAGTGACTCGTTCCCAGATCTCAGCAGTTACTTAGGTGAGTGCAACGTAATCAGGAACAAAAGAAACCATGGCCAAAACTACAAAAAATATGAGTCCAGTTTACAACAAACAAACAAACAAAGAGGGCAAGACAAAAGAAAGCACACACAGCAGGACACAGCGTGAAAAACATATCTCCAAACAGAAGCTTTATCAGGTTTTCACGGCTGAGATGAATTCAGCATGCCGGCAGGAGATTCAGCTCTACAGAAACAAACGCATACCAGTTCAGTTCATACGCAGGACAGACTAGAATAGCCGATGAGACAATGCAGCCAAGACACAATGAATGTGTCACCTTTCAAAAAAGAGACTCAGATTGACAAAAACATCTCTGCAGGTGTACAATGCCAAATATTCACCAGAATGGAGACCTGCTCCACCTCTTACTGTACTGCTGTCTGGACTTTTTGTGGCAAGAATTTGGATTCCAGCTGACCAGATATAACATTAATGCTGACACCAGCACAAAAATATGCATATTTAATCTTTCAAAAAGCCAATTCAAAAGCTAATTCATTTCCTCAAAAGAAATGCCTCACTCTAAAAAAACATCTAGTTTATCATTCACATCGTCAGACCAATTTTGTTTTATTTTCTTCATTTCTATTCAAATAAACCCTTTTCTCTGCCTCCTTTTTCACGCTGCTGCCTTGGTCTCTGTGCTGCCTGCTGCCTTTTATGACCCTTTTATTTATCTTGTTTACTGAATTATCATTATTAATAGTTATGTTTGTGTGTTTGGGTCCGTGGTTTACAGCGAGCGGGAACTAAAAGGCTCAGCTGTCAAAGGGAATATTTTACACAAGCGTTGCTCCTGTAAACATTTCTGTCTGTGTTCAGAGATGATGGCTATTTGGTGTCTTTAAGTGGACACTGAGGTTTGAGGTTACAGAGGTTTGTTCATGGAATATGCCTCTTACTAGTTTACTTTTCTGTGGTTTGTTACTGTTACACTGTGTTGTGTCTTGTTTATTGATCATTCTTTCATTTCTATGCAAAGCACTTTGTATTGCGATCTTGTTCAAAAGGCACCGTGGAAATTAAGTTTATTTTCATTTGATAAGCTGTGATTTAAACACATTCAGCTCCAGTCACAGTTCACCAGCACTGCAGACTGTGATGGAGAGTATTCATCTTTTACTGGCTATTATCTGTTTTGTTTGTTTGTTCTTTTATCTGTTTTATTTGTTTTATAATTGCATCATTGTGATTTTTATTTTTTTATTTAACTTAGTCTCTAATTATTCTAACTGTTTACATTTGTCCCTGTCTTATAATCAGCTTGTCAGTCATCTGTAAAGCCCTTTGAACAGCACTTTCCTTTATGAAAGTATCATTGATTTTTTGGCCACTTGGGAGCAGCAGAATAAGCTACAGGCACAAAATCTGACATATTATGGGCTTATAAAGTTCTTATTGTGTGAGTGTTAGCAAACAGTTGCTTATCATCCAGCCGACAGAGCAACACTGAATGAAAAGTCCTTCCTATGTTCCTACTAGCTAGATTCAAACTAGTGATTTAAAACTTATTAAACGTCTTAGCTAGTAAAGAATTTGAAAATTGGTTGCTAGGAAACATCTGCTAGCGCTGTCTACTCAAGAGCAGTCAACTATGCGAACAGGAAATCACTAGAAAGCTAGAATAACTTTCAATAGTCGTGGTTTTAGTGAGATCTTTTTAAATGCCTAAACCCAACCTCTAGTTTTGGTGCCTAAACCTAAACAAACTGGAATTGTCTGGAGGATGTGTAGATAAAAATGTCTCTTTCTTAGGTAAAACACAGTGATTCTTATTTTCAGGTGATTATTGATGAAAATGATGAAAATATACTGATGAACACTACACTCTATTTCTGCCATATTCTGCCAGTAAATCCCCCTCTTCCTACACACTGGACCGGTAAATGAAGGCTGTGAATACTTTTTTCCACCACTGAAGGCAAGTGAATGGCTGCACTGTTCTCATGGACCACCTGTCAGTCAAACAGCGTAGGCGGGACTATGACATCTTGTGTATTTTGTTGTTGATTAAAATTAGACGGCCTATAGGTGGTGCCATTTATCTGCTCAACCACAGTGGCTTTCACTTCATATATTTACTAGAAAAATATATTATGAAACACGCTTTATGTGCAGTGGGGGGGGCTTTTTTTCCCCCAGAAAGAAAAACCAGACACAGACGACAGACGACAGTAGACAGTAATAGAAAGAGAGTAAAAAAGATACTTGTTTATTTATGCTACTGTATGATTCTTAACTAAATTATACTTTCTGTCAGCCATATTTTGTAACCTGATACTTCTTTTGCAAGAGAATGTGTAAGTTATTACAAAAGACAAGTGTGAGGGGTTTGATTCTAATCTTTTGATTCATAATCTAAGTGTTGAAACTGATTTAAAATCAACTACCTGTTGTCCTTTAAATTGTGTACCACAGCCAACAGGCTCAACCAGCAACAAGGCATAACAAAGCTTGCGCCTTGTTAAACAACACAATAACCCTGCTGCATCCCTGAGAGTGAACACACAATGAGAACGAGCTTCAGCGGCTCTAGAAGTTTCCAGTTGAGCTCAACGTGCAGCAACAGGAAGAGCAGCGCCGAGACAGAAGCCAGCAGCCAGACGACAAAACAAAGGAGCTTCCGCAACTCAACAGGAAGCAGCCGTGACGTGAAGCATGGCTGCTCTGCAAACACACACACATAAACACACACAGACACACACACGCACTTACATGTCTGGGAAGGTACAGAAGCCCAGTTCAGAACCCAGCGGCTCCAGACAACCATATTTACATACATACTGTATAATCTGCACAGGTGCTTGAGGCATAATCCCTGCATGAAAAGGACAAAATCCCCTTTATGAATTAGTCCAGTTTAACCTCGGTGGCACGTGCATGGGGAAAGGTAAACACACACATACACACACACAAACAAACACACACATAGAAACCAGAGCTTTATAAATGTGTCACACTGGAGCATCATCGCCATCAGTGATTAAATTAGCGTTGTGCAGTAGAGGAAGGGTTGTCACTCTCACATACACAGACAACAGCATGCTGTTATTTGCATTTAGAACCCCCCCCCCAACACACACACACACACACACACACACACACACACACACACAGACAGCATGACATGACGCACACACCTTGCTTTTTTCTTCAAAAATGCCAAATAAGGACAAGTGGGGAGCTGTTTGTTTGTTTGTTTTGGTCCCCCGTGAAGCCAAGTTGCTGACTTGAGGGTATTTGATTGACAGCACATGGTCTTATTTGTGTTGACTTTTTATGACGTTACTGAAACATTTCCTGCGTTTTCACGTCACCACAACAGCTGAGAAACACTTTAACATGAAGCCTTGAATCTTATCCAGTCATTTCCTGGCACTACAATCCCTGTCTCTTTTGTTTCAGCCTCCATCAGTACGCGGAGACTGGTTGTTTTGTTTGTTCTGAAGGATAAACAAAAAGGAGAAGTACATAAAGACGTGAGTTGAGACGACAGGTAACACCAGCAGGAACAGCTGATAGTCAAACTGAGCAAAGTGAAAACAAAGAGGCAGCACAGTGTGCGTCTCTGGTAACCACCAACAGGAAGAGTGTCCAGACAAAAGACTCCAACCAAAAACAGCGACACATCTCCGACACAACACGCGCTCTCACGGTGATTTCTACATCCTCAATAAGTTCATCTTGACATTACAGCCTCCTGCAACCTCCACCGTCCATCTATGTCCCTCCATCTCATCTTCTAAATGTGTTTACCCCCCCACAACAAAGAGCACGACGCCAGCTCAAGTGCAACAGTGTCGCTGTGCTGGCTGGTTTGTATTGTTTTGGTTTTTTCCGAGCCTGATGCAGTCTGTGAATCCAGCACGACACCAGAACAGTGTTTGCTGCTTCTCTTTCAGCTTTTTTTTTTCTCTTTATCTTTCCTGAGGTAAACATTGCCCTGCTGCTGTACTCACCACCTGGATCAGATCTGAGCAACACGCAGCTTGGTGGAAAACTGCTTGCTGGAGAAAGAGAGAGATGTTTTGTTGAGAGATTTTTTTTTTTTAAGAGTTAAATAAATGATTGTCGTCGTCCCAGGCTCTGCTCCATGGGTGCTGCTGCCAGATGGGAACTTATTGTTGAGTCCTTTGGGTGCTGACGGATCTCATTTTTCCCTACACGGGCTTTTGTTGTGTCTTTTGTGTGCGTAATGGACTGGACTGGTTACTTTGGTACGGAAACGTCACCACGTGGGAGGGAGATGGAGCTGGGATTGACAGCCGGGCTGGCCCATAGGTGGCTGCGTTGCATTCAAGCTCCCGTGGGAAAGATGGAAACCAGGTCGAAAGTAGTATTCAGGTGGAAATAAAATGTGTTTTTCTTACTTTATTCTTTAGGTTAATTTCATATTTTATTTGTAGTTCATTTAGTACTGTATATGTACTTAAGCATTTTCTACTAGACCTACACAAGTGTCTATTCTTTCTGTTCTTTGACTTTCTTTTAGCTGCTGACACTTCAGTTTCAGCACAAGATCAATAAACTTCATCTCAAATTAAAGTATCCTGAATGAATGACTCCTATTGTGAATAGCTCAATTTACTCCAACTTCAGGATCGACTTGGTTGTTTTTGTTTATATTTTTACTCAGTTAATAGAGCTGCTTTTGTATGGGATCTATAAATAGATCCTTTTGAGGGCCCTCCCCCCATATGTGTTTCAAGTTGTTGACTTTGGCAACTGAAACCCAACCTTTTCTCCAGTGAAGGTGAAGATATTTTGGATGTTCCAAAAAAAACTCCAATTTGTTGCCTGTAAAATGTATTAGCCTGCTGTTAAACATTACCTCAAACGCATCACACATAAAGTGTCTGTGCCTAACAAAGTTGAGGATTATTCATCAGAAGCAACAACTTACATATTTCAGTTTCAAAAAAGTGAAGTTACTGTTTTGTTATTGCTGAAGAGATTATTTCCCATGCGGACTGAACGCGCCATCGCTGGGAGGAGGGAGCGCGCAGATACCCGGATGTGTAAATAAATACAAGATGAGAATATGAATCTGACTCCTTTCCCTTTTTCTGACATGAAAAATAGATACGTTTGTTTGTCGTGCTTAGCTTTCCACCTGCAGCTCTCTGTTGTTACTAATTAAAGGCAGAGTCACATTTGGTTTCTGCAGTTTACATTTCAGACACATTTTCCCCTCAAATTGCATGAGAATATATTCCCACATAATCCGCCTGTGCACTGTTTAAGTGGCGTTCTGGCTGAAAATCCTTTAAGAAAAAAAGGACCCTGACCTGATTTATAAGGATGTCAAACACGGCAAAGCATGCAATCTGGTATCATCATGACAGCATATGAGAACAGAAACAGCAGCAAGCAGAGGAAGGTCATCTGAGCAGCACAGAAACACTACAAGAATATCATAGGATGAGTTCTCCTGAAAAACAGCCAAACAGTTCTCTGAGGTTTTGCGCCAAAACAAGCCTGTCCCCATTTGTTAATTTTAGAAACAGATCAATAGATTCCCGAGTGTTCCTTTTTTTTAAGGCTTTGACATATGATACTGAGCAGCAGTTCTTATTTTATAGATATATAGAAATAAAAAACAGCAGTAGACCGCCCCCTCCCCCCCCCTCCTCCTCCTGTTTATGTGTCAGTAGGCTACTGCATCATCCTGACATTGAACAGATTCACAGCTCATATATATATATATATATATATATATGCCATAGATGAGAACATTAAATATAATATAAAATAACACATTAATCTGGTTCCACTCCCCCCCCCCCCCCCCC